ATATATATATATATCATCCACATAAATCTAAGTCTCTCTGGTGTCCTCAATAATATTTAAGAACGAAAAAGATCCTGTCTTAACCCAACTACTTTAGATAGACTTGGCTCTCCTGACTGGCATACAATTTTCTAAAGCAAATATTACATCTCCTGATCATCATCCATCTCCTGCTCCCTCCCATCCAGAAAAGTGACAAGTTTTATTTGTTAGCTATCAATGGTGCTTTTGCAAGGAGTTCACACCAGGACAAGTTGCTCTGCCTTTCCAGCCCAGTCAGGGAATGACTGCAACCATAGTTGGTTAGCAGCACTGCTCTGAACAGTCCCCTTCAATAGCTAGGGGGATTCTGAAACAATTTCTCAGCTGACCCTGCCTCATTGGGAATATCTCCCAGGAATATCCACAGCTGGAGAGTGCTTGAGAACAGGCCTACAGTTTCCAAAGTAACTTGTGAGCTTTCAAACTGAAAGATGGTAAGTAGGATGCACTGGTTCCTGTAGGAAAATTTAGGGAGCAAAGAGAAATTTGAGTACCTCTTCTCAATGGAAATGGGAAGTCTGAAAATTTAGATTTCCTTTTAGACTTCCGCGAATGATGCTCTGAAACACTCTCACCAAAGGGCTTTGCACTGTCCACCTGAAAGCAAAGAAATATAATTTGAATAAGGAGACTGCCATAAATAATACTACATTACATATTTCCAAGCAGCTGGAAGAGAGGATTTTTAAATGCTCTCAACACAAAGTAGTGATAAATGCTGGATGTAATGGATATGCTAAATATCCTGATTAAATCATCACATACCGTATTTATTGAAAAATGCACTGAAAAATCACACGGCACCCCATAAATACAATTATTATGTCAATTAAAAATACATTTAGGGAACAGGTGGTGGTGCAGCAGTAATGCAACTGGATCCACTTGGGAAAGGTCTTGGGTTCATTTTTTGGGATCTCCCTGAGCATCCAGGCACATGCATGTCTGTGATCCACTCTGGCTGAGACTGTGACATGAACTGTGGCATAAAGACCCTATTGGAGATGTCTCTTTCTCTCTCTCTCTCTCTCTCTCTCTCAGAATAAACAAACTTTGAAAAATAAAAAAAATTAATTACAAAGAAATGGACCCGAGGGCAACAGATAGTATGGTGGTTGGGACACTTGACTCCCACATGGCTGATGTGGTTCAAGTCCTGGAGCTGGCAGCTTGTGTTCTCACTTTTCTCTCTCTCTGTCTCTCTGTCTCTTTCTGTCTCTCTCTGGTGAGCACATGTACTCTATAGAAAATTAAAAATAAATGAATTTTTTTTTTTAAATATAGACTTGAATCCACTATAGCTTGTATTTCTCACTCCTTGTTACCCATAATGCCTTTTGCTTCCTCAATTACTGATAAGATGAGGGGACTTCAGAAAGTTCATTTTATTATTTTTTTAAGAATTATTTATTTAATTTTATTTATTATTACATTTTCTAATTTGTTATAGGGCACATGTACTCATGAGAGACAGAAAGTGAGAAAGCAAGCTACCAGGTCCAGCACTCAAACAGTGGTTGTCCATGTGGGAGTCCAGCACTTTAACCACCATGCCACCTGCTAGCTCCCAAAAAGTTTAATTTAGAAACAGAATTAAAAGGGGCAAGCAGGTGGAAAAACTGTTATCTTCAGTGAAATTTCACTGAGACTGTGACATGAGGATATGGGGTAAATAGTACCTTAATGAATTAAAGTTGGACACAGATTATATTCTAACAATTGGGAAGGATGGAGCACAGAAAAATAGCAAGCAAGTAAAATTTTATTTCACAGTCTTTTAAAATAGGACAAAATTTCATGTTCCTAAATAGTACTGAGTAGTCAGAAAGTCCTAATACATTTTTGTGTAGAAAAATAGAAAAATATGTCATTACTTTTCCAATGACCTAGAATGAGCAGGGTTGGCCTAGGCTGAGGTCCTCTCTGACAGCCAGGGGGTATCACAAGTGACATTTTAGCCTTCTATGTCTCCTTCAGTCTGAATGTCCAGTTAGCATAATGGTTATGCTGTTGAACTCCCATGTAGTTGACCACGGTTCGAGTCCCAGACCTGATGGCTTAAACTCATGCCGGGTTCGTATGTGTGCACACCCAAGATCCTGAGAAGAGAATAGAGGAGAAGGGATTGCGGCGTGGCCATCCCCCTGGGGGGTGATTTCTCGCTTTCTATCTCTCTACCTCTCTCTTTCTGGTGAGCACATGCACCCTACAGCAAAAACCTCTCCAAAAAGAAAAAAAAATATATGTTAACTACATTTTAAGGTGACAGACAGTCACTAAGGTGACTGGCCATATTTTCTCAAAGATGAGGCAAAATTATCTCAATCAGATCAAAATATTTGAAATAGGGACACTTACAGAGTATTTTCAACATAGAATTGCTATTCAAGATAGAATTTTTTATGGTATTATTTATGTTCTTTTTAAAATTTTAATAAGGCAACTTATAAAGTCACATTTCATTCAAGAACCGTATTGATTTGAATTAATAGTTTTTACATCTGGTCTTCTAAACTTTAATCCTTCTACCAAAGGAAGCATGACATAATCATCAAGAAATACGGCTAGATAAAAGAATGTGTAAGGGGCCAGCAGGTGGCATAGTGATTAAGGTGCTGGACTCTCACATGGCCAACCATGGTTCGAGTCCCCGACCTGACAGCTTGTTTTCTCACTTCCTCTCTCTCTCATGAGTGCACATGCCCTGTGACAAATTTTTAAAATAATAAATAAAATTAAGTAAATAAATCTTTAGAAAAAGAATATGTAAAATCATTTTTATAAAAGAGCTGTGTCAGAATTTGTTAAATAAAATAAATATCAAGCAAGTTTTAATTCTCTAAGAAATTTACCAAGATTTTAAGGTTATTTACTTTCTAATGGCATGAACTAAAGTTACATTTTATAAAAGCTTACATCAAATGAAATAAATCAGATTGTCTAATAAACTCAATTTGACAATATTTTTTTATTGTACATGCTCTTTCCAGAGAGAAAGACAAAGAAAGGGAAAGTAAGAAAGCATCTCTGCCAGGAGGATGGCCACACTGCAATCCTTTCTTCTCCATTCTCGTGGGATGTGGGGCACACACACAGGCTCAGCATGTTTTTCAAGCCAATGGATCCAGGATTCCATCCATATAGTCAGCCATGTGGAATCTAGTAGCTTTAACCACCAGGCCACTGGCTGGCCCTCAAATTAAATTAAACAATGATTTTATTATTCTGGTGAGCCTATAGGTAACTTTTTAAACTTTTCTATATTTTTCACTACTTTTTTTTAAATGCCAGAGGGCACATGCATTTACCATAGACAGACAACAAGAGAAGGAAAAATAACCCCAAATGGAGTACAGTCATGTTGCAATCCCTTCTCTCCCATTTCTTCATTCTGTCAGGACTGAGGAAGTGAATGCACAAGTGTCCAGCTTGTTTCAGGATTTTCACCATGGTCAGCTATGTGGAATCCAGCTCCCTTAACAGGCTACAGGGCTAGCCTACACTATTGTTTTTCTTTTCTTTTCCCATTCATGATATGCACATGCATGAAAGAGAGAGAAGCACCCTCCATTAGGTTCAGTCACAATGTGAGCCCTCCCCCCCCGTCCTCCAGCCCATCAGAATATTGGGCACATATGCTTATACCCAATATGCTTACAAGCCAACTGGGTTGGGGACTTGAACCGTGGTTGACATGTGGCTTCCAGTTCTACAGTCTATAATGTTACCAACTACAACACCGAGTTGTTCACTTTCACAGCAATAAAATAATTTAAGGAGACAAAGAAAGTTAGTGTGATTAAATTTGCCCAGTACTGGATCCAAGCAGTGGCACAGAGGTAACACAAATGGATCCACTTGGGAAAGGCCCTGCATTTGTTTCCCAGAACTTCCTTGAGCATGCCAGTTGTGTGCATGCATGTCTATGATATAAGCTGGCTGAAACTGGGGGTGGATCATGGGATGAAGACCCAATTGGGTGTTTCTTTCTTTTTCTCCCAGAATAAAATTTTTTTAAAAAGTTTTATAAAATAATTTGCCACGACTTTCTGAAGGCTAAATCTATCTTTAATTTAGGGCCTGGGGTATATCACATCCTTGTTTCTTCCTGAAAATGCATTTCTGTTTTTCCAAAGTATGTCCACTGAGCATCAATCTCTAAGAAAACTCGCTGATTTAAAACCGATGAAGCTTCAGTTTTAGATTGATACAGAGTACATGCCAGACTTTGTGATGATCTTCGACTCCTGTCAGTACCTTAACTCTTCTGGATAATGGTGAGTTGTCATATGTAAATGTCATACTCTATTTATAATTTTCAAAAATTAAAAATAAGGATGGTTGACATTTACTGAGCAAGTTCTCCATATGAGATTCCTTTCTAGGCATTTCCTGACAATTACTCTAGGAAATGAACTGAATTTAACCACAGTTATTATTCAATTTAAACCCCCTCTTTATTTACTATTACTCATTTGCTTTTATGGCCCAACTCTTTATTCCACCCTCTTCATACCCTCACCATTTTAAAGCACTCTAAAAACAATTTTAGGCTTACATGTCTAACTACAAATGGAGGCTTGCTTTCTCCAGAGATTCTGAAATTATTTCCAACGTTCAACTGAGCTGGTTGGTCCTGGAACAAACGTCTGGTAGTATATGGAGAGGATACTGGAGACTGCATGCCTTTGGGCATTCTGTTAAAATGATTCTCCTTTGGCTTCATCTTTTTATTATTTAAGGGATATACTGGTCCATGTGATGTGAATAAAGGCTTCTGTGATTTATATCTTTCTTCCTGAGACCAAAAAAAAAGAAAAGAAAGAAAGAATATTTTTTAAATAAATTAAAAAGAAGAAAATTCAATCAGACTATAACTGTTTGCTTTTAAACAAGATCTTACTAAGTCATGATTCTGTTGCTTCAGTCTCCCAAGCAACTGAGACTACAGGCATGTGCCAACACAATGGGATCACAGGGGAGGCTAGGAAATTGAACATCACACTCCCATGTGACTTCAGCCCGCCTGCTGAGAAGCAGTGTCTACAAGCATGTGCTGGCACAGGCGGAGGGGAGATATATGTGACATGAATAATACAGACAAACAGTGATGGAGTTAGAGGTGTGTGTGTGGACATGGGACACATCATGTTAAATACAGTCAGAGGAGGGTGCTACGAGGGGTATGCAAGTGGGCCTGCTACATAGTGGTATGTCGAAGGGGGTACCACTGAACATACCAGCACCAACACAGCTGGCTGGAGCCCCTTGCTCAGAGATTTAACTCCAGCCCCATGCTGTTGGGGCACTGAAGTGAGAGTGCTCCTCCTTAAGGTCTGACTCCTAGCTAATCAGTCCCATCTCTGAATTTCCGAGGAAGCTCCCAGGGGAACAGCCCCTCCTCAGAGTCAGTGCCCCATCTCTTCTACATGCTTCTATGATGCTTCTATGTTCTCGATAACCCAAACTCTTTCCTCTACTTCCTCAGCCCTAACGGTGAAGATACTTCCTGCAATTACTCTGTCTGTCACTTTGATACTCCCCTTCTATTTTTTAGTCTTCCAACATCAACATTAGAAATCACACACACAGGGACTTCTAATTTGAAGTTCATGGAGAAATGGGATTAAAGTATGACTTTATTTTAGTGCAAAATATTCTAAAATCATGCAGTTTTCTTAAGAATCATTTATTTAATTTTATTGAACCGTGGTCGGCTAAGTAGGAGTCCAGCACCCTAAAGCCATGCTACCTGCCACCCCAATGCACAGGTTTTTAAAAAAAACACATATCCCTGAACTTTCTGAAGACCCTTGCAGACTGTAGTCTTGCAAACTGATACTGAGCATGTCTTATGCCAGACGACTTTTCATGTATTCATAATATTCCATTGTATGGAAGTACCATCACTCATTTGGCCAATCCTTTTCCTTTTGTTGAGCACTTAACTGATACTTTAATCAGGGTCTAATCAGAAAACCAGATCATACTTGTTATTTTAGCTAATATAGAGACATAGATAAAGTCATAGATATACAAAGGGTCTTCTGATAGGTCATAGAAAATGTGATTATAAAAAAAAATGCACAGATTTCAAAAGTGTTTGTAGTGAAATAGATTTGTACTTGAATTCCATTTCTCCATGAACTTTTTAAAGGCCCTCTGTATGTGTGTGAGTGTGTGTCTGTGTGTGTCTGTGTCTATCTGTATATTCTTCCCCATACAACAGAATACTATAAATCTATTAGAAATTGTCTGACACAAAAATGCTTAAGGACATGAGAAAATGTTTATGATGAATTAAGTGAAAAAGAAGGGTACAAAATATGTAATGTAGTATGATCCCAATCTTCTAAAATTAAAAAGTGTGTGCATCAAAGTAATGATAAATGCTTGAGATGTAGCTAATTATACAGATTTGATTATTATATATTGTATTCATTAACTGAAAAATCACACTGTCTCACATAAATATATACGATTATTATATGCCAATAAAATTTTAAGTATGTGCACATGTGTGTATGGAATACACTAAAAAATTAGTCATGCTCACCTCTAAACATCAAGAATGACAGGCAATTTTTAATTTTTCCTTTTTGTTTATCTGTATTAGAAATCTATCTGAGTGTATGCCCAAGAAAATTTTCTACATGTATGCCCAAGATTCTAAGAGGAGAATGGAGGAGATAGAACTTGTGGTATGGCCATCCCCTGGGCGGGGGGTGGGGTGATTTCTCACCTTCCCTCTCTCTTTCTCTGTGTCTTTCTCTGGCCAGCACACATGCCCTTTGGCAAAACTGAAGTGGAAAATTAAAAAAGGAGGTTAACATTTAAATGAAGACCTATATTAACGGTTAAAATAAGATTAAAATGGTGGAATGAAACAGAGAGACAGACTGAAAAGTTGCCATGAACACATCACAAAGTACAGAGAAGAGACGGTAAATTCAGAGAAACTAAAAAGCAGCTAATGCTGGCCCATCTATGGTAGCACTCGTTGATGCTGCTACTTATCAGGCTGAAGCCACTTGAGAGCCTGAGTTCGATTCTCAGACCACCCTGAAAACCCAGGCACAGTGATGTGCACCTATAGTCCCAGCTACTCATGAGGATCATGACATAGTGAGACTCTTCCTAAAACATCACACACACACATGCACACACACACAACTTATGCAAGAGGGCACATGAACATGCATGAGAGAGACAGAGAGAGCAAGGAACTCCCAACAGGACCTGCTCACATTGCAATCTTTTTTCCTCCAAATTTCCATCTGGTCAGGATTTTGAGCATGTGTATACCCAGTGTGAGTTGTTCTTTTTGGTTTTGTTTTGTTTTGTTTTGTTTTGTTTTTGGTAGCTTTCTGTCACAAAGTACAGAGAAGAGACGGTAAATTCAGAGAAACTAAAAAGCAGCTAATGCTGGCCCATCTATGGTAGCACTCGTTGATGCTGCTACTTATCAGGCTGAAGCCACTTGAGAGCCTGAGTTCGATTCTCAGACCACCCTGAAAACCCAGGCACAGTGATGTGCACCTATAGTCCCAGCTACTCATGAGGATCATGACATAGTGAGACTCTTCCTAAAACATCACACACACACATGCACACACACACAACTTATGCAAGAGGGCACATGAACATGCATGAGAGAGACAGAGAGAGCAAGGAACTCCCAACAGGACCTGCTCACATTGCAATCTTTTTTCCTCCAAATTTCCATCTGGTCAGGATTTTGAGCATGTGTATACCCAGTGTGAGTTGTTCTTTTTGGTTTTGTTTTGTTTTGTTTTGTTTTGTTTTTGGTAGCTTTCTGTTTGCTTATTTTAAGTAGATGGGCCAGGACTCAAACCCTGGTCAGCCAGGGATCAACTTCTTCTGAGCCGTGCCTAACCTCTATATGATAGGCCTGGCCCACAAAAGAGAAAAAGGAAAAAACTCATGTGTTCCTTAAAGTCAATCACTGGTCTCCTAGTATATGAGTTACTATGCCAAGAGAACTGATAGATCTGCACAGATTAGTGGCTTTTCTTACTCAGTACTCCTTAACCCACATCCCTCACTATTAAGGTCTTTTTCAGGATCTCAGGCAAGATTTGGAATAAATATTTTGTTTATTAATTTTGTCCTACCTTGTCTCAAAGTATATGAAGAACTTTTACAAATTACCTTCATTCCTTCTCCATCTTGCTCTAGAAAGGATTCTAAATGACTGAAAAGTTGTATATATTAGGTAAACAAACAAAAACAGAATGAAGGAGAAATCAGGGTTGAAGAAGAGAAGGAAAATGGAGGTGGTACAGATGGATGCCCTAAGACCATTCACGCTTACTAAAGATGGGCCACAGACACAACCCTGAGCATCAGCTTCAACAAAGGAAAGAAGGAAACGCTATTCTTAAAATCAAGAGTGTTCATAAGATCAAGAGTGAAAGTCACAAAATAACAAAAGCTGTCTAGCCTACTTACATCAAACATGGTTTAACTTCTGAGTCATCATGCTCTCTCACCTTGATCATGCTGAATACAGACCAAACGTACTTATTCTAATGTGATAGGCTGAGCAAATAGCTTGAATATAGAAATTCAAGCCTAGCAAAAACTTTCCAGGTTTGCATTTGTTCAATTGCATCTAAACTTGGTAAACTGAGTTTGAGCTAAAAATCTTTAAACTTGTGGAGAAAATTCCTGTAATTTTTATCATTGTTTTTGTAATTATACTTACAAGAAATCTGTTTCTATGCAGAAACACACACTCTCTGATGGCTGTCTTGGTAGAAAATTCTATTTTGGGAGCAATTCCCTAAAAATAAAATAGCATAAAATTACTTGAAACAGTTTTTTGCCCTTTTCATCCTAACTTGAAATCATGCAAGAACTTAACTGCTCTTATATGTAGTTGGCAATCACACACATTACCTAAAATAGATATACAATAAGACCAGATAAACACTTATGTAATAGGTGTTATGTAACAGATCCAGGCCTACAGGCTTTGCATATTATTTTTTTCTTTTTGAAGAGGTTTTTGCTATAGGGCGTGTGTGCTCGCCAGACAGACAGAGAGAGACAGAGAGATAGAAAGCGAGAAATCATCCCCCAGGGGGGATGGTCACGCCGCAATCCCTTCTCCTCCATTCTCCTCTCGGGATCTTGGGCACGCACGTACATGCGCCCAGCATGAGTTTTAAGCCACCGAGCCCGGGACTCAAACCGCGGTCCACTACGTAGGAGTCCAGCGACATAGCCATTACACTAACTGCTGGTCCTGGCTTTGCATATATTAACTCATCTAACACAGCCTCAGGAGATAGACCCTAATAGTATGTGTACTTTGCAGATGAGTAAACTAAGATACAATCTAAATAACTTCTCCACCTAGATAGTTAATGGCAAAGGTGATAACTGAACCCAAGCATTCTGGCTCCCATGTCCATGCTCATAGCTGCTCTATTTAAATCAATGCCTGGGACCAGGAGGTGGTGGTGGTTAAAGTGCTGGACTCCCACACGGCTGACCATGGTTTGAGTCCCTGACCCAGTGGCTTGTTTTCTCTCTTTCTCTCATGCATGCTCTATAGCAAGTTTTAAAATAATAAATAAAATTAAATAAGCAATTTTTTAAAAATGCCCAAATCCTGAGAGAATGGAAGAAAAAGGACTACACAATGTGGCCATCCTCCAAGAAGTGATTTCTTACTCTCTCTCTCTCTCTCTCTTCCTCACTCCCTCTTGGTCTTTCTCCTGCAAGTTCACGCGCCCGATAGCAAAAACTAAGACAATAATAATAATAATAATAAAATAAAACTATGGACCATGGAATTTAATGCTATTTAAGGAGGGATGGATAGAGTTTCTCCTTCCCTACCTACCTACTTTGAAAAATTATCTTATATCTTATACCAAGTATTCAAACTCTTCATTTAGTTTCATTAATTCATACTTTTTTTTTTCTTTTTTAGGTTTTTGCCATAGGGTGCATGCACGCACAAAAGAGTGGAGAGAGAGAGAGAGAGGGAAAGTGAGAAATCACTTTACAGGGGATGGCCACACCACCGTCTCTTCTCCTCCATTCTCCTCTCAGGGTTTTGAGCATGAACGCACATGCGCCCAGGTCCGGGACTCAAACTTTCAAGCCACTGGGTCCGGGACTTCAACCACAGTCAGCCATATGGAAATCCAGCCACCCCAACCACCACATAACCTGCTGGCCTGATAACTTCTATTTTTGTTCAGTACCACACTGTCTAAAATATCATGTTTCATACATGCATATAGCTTATCCTATTTAATTCTTATAATTCTATAAAATAGATAAAATTATCATCCAATTTTTTAATGATTTTATCTATTCTATGCAATAGATAAAATTATCATCCAATTTTTAACAGACAAAAACAGGAAAAATCCAAACATTCTTTAAGGGTGAATAAACTGTACATTTCTATTTAATGCAGTCTACTCAGCAATAACAAGGAACGAACTACTGATGTACAACTACATGAATGAATTCTAAGGCATTATTCTAAGTAAGAGAGTTCAGTTTCTAAAGGTTACATGTCATATGATTCCATTTATGTGACATTTTCAAAAAGACAAAACTACAGTGATGGAACACAGATGAGTGAGTAGGGGATGGGAAGAGGGTGTGACTATAAAGGGGTAGCAAGAGGGAGATTTTCGGGCTAATGGAACTATTCTATATCCTGATCATGGTGGTGGTTTCACAAATCAATATATGTGGTAGAATTCATAGATCTGGGACTAGATGATGGTACAGTGGTGGTACAACTGAACCCATATGGAAAAGTCCTGGGTTCATAGTACTAGAACCTCCCTCAACAAGCCTCCCTGAGTGCACACATACTTATAATCCAGGCTAGCCACACCTGGGACTGGGTCATGGCATGAGGACCCTGTTGAGCTGCCTGTCTGTTTCTCTCTCTCCAAATAAATAACAACTCTTAATTTTTATGTTTTTGCTATGGGGCACATGTGCTCATTAGAGAGAGAAACAGAGAGGGAAAGAAAAAAATCATCCCCCAGAGGAATGGCCACACCACAATCCCTTCTCCATTCTCCTCCTGGGATTTTAGGCACACATGCACATATCTGGCATGATTTCAAGCTGCCACGTCCAGAACTCAAACCATCAGCCATGTGGGAATCCAGCACCTTAACCACCACACCGTCTTCTGGCCCAATAAAAACTTATTTTGAAGCCCACAAATTTATTGTATAGAAGACATCATAGAATGAGGCCCCATAACACAGTGGTTAAGTGCTATGCATAGAAAGCCAGATCCCACATGACCAACCACGATTCAAATTGCAACCTCGTCAGCTTGAAAAAAAACACTGTGAATGTGTGCACACTTGACCACAGTCCCATCAGGGTGAAGAAATGGAAGAGAAGGGATAGCAGTGTGACCACACTCCACTGGGGCTTGTGCGTGTGCCTTCTCTGTCTGTGTGTCTCTGTCTCTCTGTCTCTATCTCTCTCTCTCTCTCTGGGGAGCACACATGCACACCTGTTATTCTAGCTAACTAGGAGGCTGAGGCAGAGGACTACAGCAATAAGATCTTGTCAAAAAATGTTCTCTTTGATTAAAAATGTTTTGAATTTGAATTTGAATTTGAATTTGGGATCAGAAAATGCCCACTAGGCAGTGCAGTTATCAACTAAATCAATCATTAATTATATCTGCTGTGTCTTTGCTTTTCCTACTTTCTCTCTCTCTCTGTGTCTCTCTCTGGTGAGCGCACATACCCTGTTGCAAATTTTAAAATAATAATGATGATAAATACATTAAATAAATAATTCTAAAAAAAAAAAAAAAAAAAAAAACTTCTTTTATGATTTAAATTTATGACCCTTTTTAAAAAAAAAAAAAAAAAAAAAGATCCTTTAGTGATGTCAATTTATGACCTGTCAGTTTCCCCTCTGTGAAGTGGAGACCATAATATCTGCCTTGGCTAACCTGACAATTGTTAGGAGGAAAATATCATATGTGAAAAATTGAAAGTTCAAAATAAATGAGAGGGGGACCAGAAGTTAGCATAATGGCTATGTCGCTGAACTCCCATGTAACCGACCATGGTTTGAGTCCCGGATCCAGTGGCTTAAATTCACTCAGAGCGCGTGTGTGTGTGTGTGCACAAAATCCCGAGAGGAGAATGGAGGAGAAGGGATTGCGGCGTGGCTATCCCCCTGGGGGTGGAGATGATTTCTCACTTTCTATCTCTCTGTCTCTCTCTGTCTTTCTGGTAAAAAAAAAAAAAATGAGAGGCAGCATTACTACTGTTGCTACTGTAGTCATTACAGCTATGACTAAACAAACAAATCTTTGTATTAATCTATAGAAAGAGGAGGTTTAAAAAGAAACCCTTTAGGGGACCAGCAGGTGGCGTGGTGGTTAAAGTGCTGGACACACTTCCACATGGCTAACCACGGTTCAAGTCCTGGACCCGGTGGCTTGCTTTCTCACTTTCTCTCTCTCAGTCTCCTTCTGGTAGAATTTAAAAATTAATGAATGAATAAATAAAATAAAATAAAAAATAATTCTATTAAAAAAAGAAAGAAAGAAACCTTTTAGGGACCAGCAGTTAGCATAATGGCTATATCGCTGGACTCCCACGTAGTCGACCGCAGTGCACGTCCTGGACCCGGTGGCTTAAAACTCACACCGGGCACGTGTGCGTGCGTGCCCAAGATCCCGAGAGGAGAATGGAGGAGAAGGGATTGCGGCGTGGCCATCCCCCATGGGGGGTGATTTCTTGCTTTCTGTCTCTCTTTCTCTCTGTCTGTCTGGCGAGCGCACACGCCCTATAGCAAAAACCTCTCCAAAAAAAGAAACCCTTTAAAACTGTGTCTCCATGAATATAGCAATGAGCAATGAGCTCCTGATAGATAACAGGACTTTCCCTCTCAAATCAATAGTGGAATCAATAAATTCGCTATCTTGAGTTGGGCATTGAAACAGGGCTACTAAACAGAACAACACAAGTACTAACCAAGATGAAGTTATCTGTCCAAGATCAATCCTGTCAGGAATAAAATGTTGGGGTCCCAAGAATTTCTCTCCCAATTGAAGCCCAAATGGATCACATACCGGAAAACCTATAGCCGTCTTCATGAGTACCTCCCTACACATCCCAGGATGTGAAGGCGTCAACTTGGGCTCAGGGAAAAGAAAATCCCGTGTGTTTTCTTCATAGTAGGCCAACTCATCCCACACTAGAAAGAAGAGAAGAGCATGAACATATTATGTCTGTACCTCCAAGTTTAACAAAATCAAAGTCCAGACAGATGATCACAAAGATGGCACTCAGATACAAATGGACATTTTGATCCCACCACCTCTTACTCAAGAGGAGAATAACTTCTACTTTTTATCTCATGAATAATTTTTTAAAGCCTTCCCAAGTCCTAACAAAGGAAAGAACAAAGGCTGCCCCACAATGCAGAACAAAGAAGAAAACCAATCTTTCCTCCTTCCATCCATTCTTTCCTTCAAAAACTTCTTTCCTTCCTACTAAGGGCAATCCTTGGACCAGGCAGACTCTGAAAATAGAACTTAAAAAAGCAAGATGTAGCTCTGTTCACGCACAGGCTGCAGTTTAGACTGGAGTTCAATGTGTTCTGTGATGCAGGGATGCCAGTGGCCCAGAAAACAGCTAGGGCTGTGTTTCTCAGCAGGGGTGGTATCAACCCCAGAGACACCTGGGATACTTGTGGGAACACTTCAGGGGCAAGAGCCAGAGGTGATGGAGTGTCCTGAAGTGCTGAAGATACTCCTAGACACTGAAAAAATTTCCCCATCGTATGCAACTCTGCCACTTTCTAACATTCTATTAGACGCTGGACTCCCACATCGCTGACTGCTCAAGTCCCAGACCTGGTGGCTTGCTTTCTCACTCTCTCTCTCTCTGGTAAAATTAAAATAAACAAATTAAATAAATAAAGTTAAATAAAATAATTCTTAAAAAAATCCAATCAGACATTCTTGTAGACTAAAAAACAATTACAATTATCTGAACCTAACTCTACATAAATACAAAGTATTTCTTTTCATGATTTTAAGACACACCAAATTTTTCAGGAATGCAGATACTGTGTAAATCAAGTAATTGTACTTGGTTTTGTTTGAAACTTCACCAAAACCTGTTTGGCATTTTTATTTTAAGGAAGTTTTTATTATTTTTTTTAGAGAGATTTTTGCTACAGGGCGCATGCACTCGCTGGAGAGACAAATTACAGAAAGATAGATAGCAATAAATCACCACCCAACGTGGATATCCATGTCACAATCCCTTCTCTTCCATTCTCCTCTTGGGATTTTGGGCATGCATGAACATGCGCCCGGTGTGAGTTTTAAACTGTTGGGTCCAGGATTCAAACCATGGTCAACTACATGGAAGTCCAGCAATGTAACCATTATGCTATACGCTGGTCCATATGCTTATTATTATTATTATTATTCCATTTGACCAGGGAGAGACAGAGAGAGAGAGAGGCAGAATGAGAAAGCAAGCTGCCAGGTCTGGGACTCAAACCACAGTCAGTCACATGGGAGTCCAGTACCTTATCCACCATGCCACTTGCCAGCCCATTTGGCATTTTGAAAATAATTTTATATCTAGATATTGCATTGTGCTCAATATTTGCATATCAGTGTAGATATTATTTTATTATGCACCACTTTCCTTTTATTTCTCCTTTATATTACATTTAGACTATTATATTGATTTGTTCTAGTGATTTGTGTAGGTTGACTACATTAACTGTCAATATTATTTCAGTATGGTAAAAGCAATACCACAAAATATCCATCACCAAAAGATGATCTTGTATCTAATGGGACTGATAACTAGCAAGCTGAAGCACAGAAAAGCTGTCATGTGAGCTACCCTCTGCACTGCAGGTGCTACACAAGTGATTTGCACAGAGGACTCTTGTATAAAGCACCATCAGAAACATGACTGTAGGCACAGCCAAGTGACAAAGCTGGTAGGACTCCCCTGGGTAATACTGGAGTCTCATGAGAAGCTCAAATTCATATCCAGGGTCAACCTGAATATACCAGGCATGACCATGAGCATATGTGATCCTGCTGGCTAAAAGGCTTTGGGCCAGATCTTGTCAAGTGTACCTATTTCTCTCTCTCTCTCTCTCAACAAATAAAGTGTAAAAATAGTAACAGTAGCCAATGAAGAGGTAGTTTTGCTGTTTACTGATGCCAGTAAGAATAATTCTGATGAAGGCATTTTCTATTTTGGTACATCAGCTGTATAAAATAAATGACATTGCATCAAATAATATCATGGATTAATTTCTTGTTTCTTCTCATTCCATTCAATATGAATGTTTAGGTTCTAATGAGAAAAGAATTGGGACCAGCAGCGTAATGGCTATGTCGCTGGACTCCCATGCAGTTGAACACTATAGCTATAGGTTTTTCATATATGAATTTTATTTTGTTGAGAAAGGGCCCTTCTATGCCAGTCTTGTTAAGAGTCTTAATCATAAAGGGATGTAGTATTTTCTCAAATGCTTTCTTTGCATCGATTGAAATGATCATATGGTTTTTATCTTTCTTCCTGTTAATATGGTGTATTATGTTCATAGTCTTGCATATGTTGAACCACCTTTGCATTCCTGGATTAAAGCTTACCTGGTCATGTTGAATAATCTATTTTATATGTTGTTGGAGATGATTTCTAAAAAAAAAAAAAGAATCAAAGTGCAAAAAGAAAGTAGTCTACATTTTTCTTGCTAATATTTCTTTCCACCCTATCCTCCCAAACTCACTCTGACCACAACAAATTGATATCGTACCTCATCTACAGTGTGCTTCCACAGCTATGCTCTTACTTCCTTCTCATCCTGGTGACATTTCACCCTAAGTGTCTTACAGTACTTCCAATCTAATAGGTCCAAAATAGAATTCTCGATTCTTTTTTCTCACAAATCAGTTCTACCATCACGTTCTTATCAGAAAAACCTGAACCAGATACTTAAGCCAAAAGTCAAGGATTCATCCTTGATTCCAATCTTTCTCCTTACATCAATCCAATAGCAAGTCCTGTTGACTCTATCTCTAAAACAAACCTGAAATCTGTCCCCTTCTCTCCATCTTTACAGCTACCATCCTGGTCCAAGTTCCCACCACCCACCTCTCTCCTGCCCTAGCATCCTATTTGATCTCCTGCTTTCACCAATCCATTCTGCATACATTACAATGTTTTAAATACACCAAACTACCTTTCACCTGCTTAAGAACTTTCAATATGTTTCCTATTATACTAGAATAAAATGTAAGTACTTTACCCTAGCCTTCAAGACCCTATACAATTCCCACCTTTAATCACTTCTCCCCTTCTTTTATTATCACTCTCCCTATTGATTACTCCCTGTCATCCTTGTTGCACATCTTGTTGTCGCTTAAATACACCAAGTTCATCTCTACCTTACAGTTTGGTCCTACTCTTCTACAATTTTGGTACAGATCCAGCCCAAACTCAGTATTCTAAGTAGACTAATGACATAGACAGTGACATCATCAATACCATCAATAAACTACTCCCCCAAAAGGAAACAAATGAGACAAGGAAAACGATCATCTCAGTAACAACATTGGTTCAAGAAATATCTAACTTTTATCAAACGTAGTAGAATTGACAATGTGCTTTCAAATATAGGGTCTCAACTGATTCCTTCTTTACAGATAAGGAAACCGAGGCTGAGAGTTAACACACTCGTCATGATGCCACATGGCAAAGTGGGAATTCAAACCAGATAAGAGGCAGGAGTTCTTCCCTTGCTGATATCTAGAAAACATCACTATGAAAATATAAGACCATGCTCTGGTTATGTGAAAGGGGGCCCACTAAAATGGGATTTTACTCTTGGACTGAATATATATGGTTTACCTAAAGTGAAAGTATTTATTTATGAGATCAATAAAATGAAGGCACCAAGCTTATAGTCAGACAGGATTGTGCTGCCCCCCTGTGTCCATTTGTGTTTTCCCACCTTTGGGAACAAAAACCAGTGTTTTTCTCAAAAGCAAAATCTTTGGACCTCTTCATTCTTTAGCAGTAAAGCCATATGCAAATCTGAGTATCATTACTTGTATTATTAACTTACTGGTCATAATATATCTTTTTTTAACATAAGTATATTTGGAAATAATGTTAAAATTACCAAACTATAAAGCAATACCTACAGTAAAATGAAAATGAAAAGGTAATCATTCACCTAGAGAAACTGGTCCCTGAGAACCCAAATACGGCCCATGTGACCACAGTGTGGGCTACAAGAGACTTGAAACAAATAATCAGTATCAAGAACCAGCATATCATGAGGGCTCATTGCCATCTCTATGTACCTGGTGCTACCAGCATCATACCAGGAAGACTGGCACCACGTAGACCATGTGCAAAGTTTACCATCAATAACACAAATTGAACAAATTAATGAACCAATATGCACTGCATATAAAGCTGAGTAAAAAGGTCATTATTTTAATCAACCCCAATTTAATTCCACCAAAATTGCAATATGAAATTGAAAGATCCTAGATTAAAAGAAAACTAGTGTGACATGGATCTCATTTTGCATCTCATTAACTTGTGAGTTGTAACCAGTATGATAGACGACCTTGAATAATCATCAATCATTACTGCTTTTTTTTTTTGAGAGAGAGAGAGAGAGAGCTTTTGGCTATAGAATGTAAGCACTTGCCAGAGAGACACAGAGAAAGTGAAAAATTACCCCCCAAGACGGATGACCACTCAGCAATCCCTGCTCCTTCATTCTTCTCTCAAGATTTTGGGCATGCACACATATGTGCTTGGCGTGAGTTTCAAGCCTCCAGGTCTGGTACTCAAACTGCAGCCAGTCATGTAGAAGTCCAGCACCTTAACCACTATGCCACTTGCTGACCCCTGTCTAATCATCATTGCTTTCAAGCAACTATTCTTAAAACCTTTTCATAGGCGAATTTAAGATCATAGGAAAGATACATGGCAGCCCATGACACATTAAATTTTTAAAAGTGAATTATAGAATATGTACAGTCAACATACAGATACATGCACATGCCTATATTATAGATTAGTATACGTATATGGCAATAGTATATATAGGTGTGTACATATAAGTACATGTATAAACAAGCGGTCAGGCTAGCCAGTGGCATGGTGGTTAAGGTGGCTTGACACCATATGGCTGACTACACAGGTTCAAGTCCTGGATCTGGCAGTTTGAGAAACATGACAGATGTATCCACATGTGCCCAAAATCCTGAAAAGAGAATAGAGATGGGATTACGGTATGGCCATTCCCCCTAAGGAGTGCATTCTCACTTTCTCTCCTTGTCTCTCTCTGGCAAGTGCACATACCCTATAACAAAATAAAAACTAAAAGGAGGTATTGAGAAAGTTCTCAGAAAATACGTATTATGAAAAAAATGCATAAACTTCAAAAAATGGATATATTTTTGTCTCTTTGCACCAAAATAAACTCATACTTTAATTTATTTTTTCACAAATTTTCTGAAGTCTCTTCATATATCGCATAGACAGATGTGTGTATCTGTATACCATATATAGTTTATGTGGGTATGTACTCTCTCTCTCTCTCTCTCTCTCTATATATATATATATATATATTTAGTATATATAGGAATATATGTATATACTACATATAGTACATGTAAGCATATCTTCTTGTTTACTATATATGTTAGATGTACATATTGTGCAACTTGCTTTTTAAAATTTAATATATCTTGGACTGCTATAAGTCTTTCATGGGACCAGAAAATCAGTGTTTAGTATACTCATCCAACCCTAAAATACATACACACACTAAACACACTATATACACATTACACACACACACATATGTTTTTTTGTTATGATTTTTACAGTAATACTATTTAGGTATTGAGTAATTTTAGTTTAATTCATGCAAAATTAAATAAGACTAAAATGGGCATGCTTCTACTTTATTAGCATACCAAAATATAACTTGCCAGTTAGTAGTGATGAATGTTTGAAATAAAATTGGATCAATAAGAAACAAAACTTATGGGAAAAAGCTCAATGCCATGATGTTAGCCTGTCACTTTTAAGCTAAATATATTGATTGAGGATTTCTGAAAAGCAGGTAGGAGGTTGGGGCCAGCAGGTGGTGTGTTGGTTAAGGCACTAGGCTCCCACATGGCCAACCACAGATCAAGTTTCAGACCTGACAGCTTGCTTTCTCACTTTCTCTCTGGTCAAGTTAAAAAATAATAGTAATAATGAATAAAATTAAATAAAATAATTCATTTTTAAAAAGCAGGTAGGAGACATCTGTTTTGTCTACCAGAGAAACTTTTAACATGCTCAAGAGTGTCTACCCCTAGATTCACAGAGTGGGGTTCTTGTCTGTTTTCAGGGCAGCCTTTGCCAAAGAACCAAGAAGCAGAAGAAAGAACTACAGCTCCTGAGTTTACCCCACTTCACTGGATCCTTGACCTCCCCCAGTGACATTCCTAGCAGGCAGAGCAAAGATACCCCTAAATAGCCTGCATGGCCCCCTCTGATGCAGCTGGGGCAGCTGCCAGCCTCATCTTCCCTTTCCAATGGTCTCTTAACCAAAAAAAAAAAAAAAATTGGGGGCCAGCCCTGCAGTACAGTGGTTAGGTGGTATGCAAAGGAAACTGGATCTCACATGGCCAACCAAGGTTCAACTTCTGGCCTTATCGACTTGAAAAAGCATACCTGCATGTATCCCTAGGATCCTGATTGGATGAAAAGCCAGAAAAATATTATAGCATGACCAGGTCTCATGGGAAGGTGGAGAGAGTGCTCACTCCCCGCTACCCACACATACACATGCTCTCTGACATAGAAAAGAAACAGTTCATAAATCAAATATCAAAATAACATAACATAGCAAGAGCCAGATAAATGTATTGAGCATAACTCTTTTTTTTTGTTTGTTTTTGGAAAGGTTTTTCTCTATAAGGGCACGTGCGTTCACCAGACAGACAGAGAGAGACATAGAGACAGAAAGTGAGAAATCACCCCCCAGGGGGGATGGTCACGCTGCAATCCCTTCTCCTCCATTCTCCTCTCGGGATCTTGGGCACACACACACACGCGCCCGGCGTGAGTTTTAAGCCACCGGGTCCGGGACGCGAACTGCGGTCAACTACGTGGGAGTCCAGCAACATAGCCATTACGCTAACTGCTGGTTCCCATTGAGCATAACTCTTTAAAAACGTCAGTAAAAATACCAAGGATTTATACCAAAACTCAAGTGCTTACATCCAGATATCACTTACAGATATCACTTACATCCAGGGACACTTACAGTTACTTTATACAGAAGGAAAGAAAATAAGCAAATCATGAAGTGGAAAAGTGGAAATTTTTAGAAAGTAAATTTTAGGGGCCAGCAGGTGATGCAGTGGTGAAGGCAATGGATTACCACATAGCCGACTGCAGTTCAAATCCCAGACTTGGCAGCTTGAAAATCACGCCAGACACATGTGTGTGTGCCCAAAATCCCAGGAGTAGAAGGGATTGCAGCATGGCCACTCCCCTGGGGGGTGATTTCTCAGTTTCCCTTTCTTTGTCTCTGGTGACACATGAGCCCTGGGGTAAACATCTAAAAATAAATAAATAAACTTAAAAATACTTTTTAAAAGTAAGTCTTAAATGTCAAATTGTCACAAATCATATATTTAAAGAAGGGGGACTATAAAATATGGTCAGATATATTTTAAAGATGTTATTACACATTTTGTGAACACAATAATACAAATGTTCACCTCCAGCACTAGCTAGGAGGGGAACAGCAGGGGACATGGTCGAAGCAGCAGAACCTTACTGGGGATTAGTTTACCCCTGGTTTACAAGATAGTCATTCTTTCTTTTGTAAATATACCAAGAGGAAAAAAAAATGTTTTATAAAGATCTGAAAGACAAGGAAAATCTTAATGCTAAAGTTAAAGATAACCACAAAACTGCAAAAAGTATACAGTTACTGAAAATGACAAATAACTACAAATAACAATGTAGAGTGACAAAAGCAAATTAGAAAATAGCCAAAGGCCAAATTTTTTTTAAAATTTATTTATTGGAGAGGTTTTTGCTATAGAGCTCTTGTGCTCACCAGAAAGAGAGAGAGAGAAAAAGACACAGAAAGCAAGAAATCACCCTCCCCACCCTAGGGGTGGGGGTGGCCACGCCACAATCCCTGCTCCATTCTCTCAGGATCTTGGGCACACACGCACATGCTCCTAGCGTTGAGTTTAAGCCTCCAGGTCTGGGACTCCAACCACAGTTGCCTACATGGGAGTCCAGCAACATAGCTGTTATGCCACCTGCTGGTCCCCCAAAGGCCAAAATTTTTAAAGACATGAGATAAGATCAGCCAGTGGTGCAGTGGTTAAGGCCGCTGGATACCCCATGGCCTGCAACTGGACCCAGTAGCTTGGGACTCAAACTTGCCTGTGTTCATGCATGCCCAAAATCCTGAGAAAAAAATGGAAGAAAAGGGATTGCAGCAATGGCCATCTCCACCACCCTGGTGAGTGACTACTCACTTTGTCTCTGTCTCTCTCTATGTGTCTTTCTCTGGCAAGCACATGTGCCCTAGAGCAAAAACTAAGAAAATTAAATTAAACATTTTTGCAAAGAGCTGAAATAAAGTTATAGAAAAACAGGAAGTCAAGGTCAACGGATGGCAAAATGATTATGTCACTGGACTCACACATAGTTGATCGCAGTTCGAGTCCTGAACCTGGTAGCTTGAAACTCACATCGAGCACATATGCATGCATGCCCAAAATCCTGAGAGGAGAATGAAGGAAAAGGGATTGCAGCATGACTAATCCCTCTGGGGGAGAGGGGGAGTCCTTGTTTTCTAATTCTCTGTTTCTGTTTCTCCAGCAATCACATGTGCCCTATAGCAAAAATCTGAGGAAAAAAAAAAAAAAACCAGAAAGTCAAAGAGCCTGTTTGAGTAGCGCTCACTGCCACCACTCCCATAAAATTACTCTCCTGAAATGTGAGCAAAATTTTATATATTAGCAGGGTAAAAAAAAGTGTGCTTGAAACACTTATAAACACATAAAGTTCTAAGTTACTTAAAAGCATAACTTTTAAATACCAGTTCCAAATCGGTCATGCCCAAATCCTTTTGAAATTAAAGTAAGTTCATTTAGAAATGCATCTACTGACACATTACCTGGTGGCACTAGTTGTATTAATTCAAACCTGGTTAGAAAGCCTAAAAAGAAAAAAAATGAGATTTTTAATACTTCAGAACATTGCCACAGTTTTTCATTAATTGCTAAATTAGAAAAAACTAAGAAAATTAAACATTTTTGCAAGGAGCTGAGATGAAGTTATAGAAAAACAGTTATATGGTTACATAGTTAACTGCCATAATGTCCCATTTACATTATTAGTACTAATAATAATTAAAATAAGTGCTATACCAACAACTCAGATATTTCTAGACTTAATAAATTAGGAAAATAGAGACTAACTGAATGTTTGTTTGTTTAAGAGGTTTTTGCCATAGAGTGCATCTGCACTCACTGGAGAGAGAGTGAGAGACAGATGGTGACAGGAAATGTGAGAAATCACTCCCCAGGGGGGATGGCCATGCTACAGTCCCTTCTCTTCCATTCTCCTCCTGGGATTTCGGACACATACACACATGTGCCTGGCGTGAGTTTCAAGCTACCAGGTCTGGGCCTCAAACTGTAGTCAGCCATGTGTCAGTCCAGCAACATAACTGTTATATTATCTGCTGGCCCCAAGAGTAACTGAGTTTTAAAAATAGCATCTCACCTCATGAAAACTATTGACAAATAAATGTAATATTTTGTCTCTTGATAGTATATTCACAGAGCACTAAACAGTGCACTTTTCGTTTTAAAAATACAATTGTTTTCCATCAACATATAAAAGTTTTGCCGGCACGGTGGTGGCCCACCCTATGGCAAAAACCTATGGAAGCTGGAGGATTGTGGCATCGAGTCTGTCTCTCTCTCTCTCTGGCTCTCTCTCAACTCTCATGATTTATATATATATATATAAAAGTTAATCATGGGGGGACCAGCAGATGGCATAATGGTTACATTGCTGAACTCCCACAAGGTCAACCATGGTTCGAGACCTGGACCAGTGGCTTGAAACTCATGACAGGCACGTGTGCATGTGTGCTCAAAAACCCAAGAGGAGATTCAAGGAAAAGAGAATACAGCATGGCCATTCTCCCCAGGGAGTGATTTCTCACTTTCTGTCTCTGTCTCTCTAGTGAATGCACAAATCCTATAGCAAAAAAAAATCTCTCTAAAAAAAAGTTAGGGCCAGTAGGTGGTATGGTGGTCAAGGGACTGGGATCCCAGATGGCTAACTCCACAGTTCAAATCTCACACCTGACAACCTGAGAACCATGCCAGGTGTGTGTGCATGCATGCTCAACGTCTCAAGAAGAGAATGAAAGAGAAAGGATTGTAGTGTGGCCATCTCCTCAGGAAGTGATTTCTCGCTTTCCATATCTCTGTATCTCTCCAGTGAGTACATGCGCCCCAGGTCAACCTGGACATGCCAGACTATCTGTGAACATACCTGTGATCTTGTCTGACTGAAAGACTGGAGAAAAAAATCATAATATGGTGGGTCCCTCTTAGGGGTCCTATCTCTCTCTTTCTCCTCCATAAAATAAATGAACTTTAAAAAAACAGTGTACTACACCAGGCACATATGTATGCATGCCCAAAATCCCAAGAGGAGAATTGAGGAGAAAGGATGACAGTGTAGCCATCTCCCTGGAGGGTAATATCTCGCTTTCTGTCTCTGTCTCTCTTTCTCTCTGGCAAGCACCCATACCCTACAGAAAAAAAGTACTCTCCAAAAAAAAAAAAAAAAGTGTACTGTATGACTATACAAATTAGACATACAATATAACTTTCTAAATATTTCTTTTTTTTTTTTTTTGGAGAGATTTTTGCTATAGGGTGCATGTGCTCACCAGAAAGACAGAGAAAGAGAGACAGACAGACAAAAAGCGAGAAATCACCCCCAGAGGTGATAGCCACACCACAATCCCTTCTCCTCCATTTCCCTCTCGGGATCCTGAGCATGCATGCACACACAACTGGCGAGAGTTTAACCCACCGGATCCGGGACTCGAACCACAGTCGACAACATGGGAGTCCAGCGACATAGCCATTAGGCCAACTGCTGGTCCCAAACTTTCTAAATATTTCTTGAATTCAAAATATATTTAGAAATAGAGAGGCGAGTCCTGTAACCAGGAGACCAGAATGTGATGGGAGAGGAACAGTCTCGATCCAGGCAGAAGACAGGCCTTCAGAAGGAGGTTCCACATGGCTCCTGTGAACTAGAAGGATCTAAGAGCACTGTAGTTAAACATCCAAATACTAATAGGGTTAAAATATTCCTCAATATCTACTGAATCTGCTGCACCAGTGATCACAACAGAATGGCAAAGAGATTCTAGATCACCTCTGTCTGCTTGCTCCTGAACATTCAGACTGAACTTCAAGAATTTGAAAGAAACACACCATCCATCAGATGACAAGAAATCACCTCCGGATTACAAGAAATATGGGAAAACAAGAAAATACCTTTCCTCCAAGGGAAAAGAGTAACTCTTCTTCTTCCACAAGCAGTTCGGTGAAAATCATGGAAATGTCTGATAAGGAATTTAGAGCATTCATAATGTCAAAGCTAACAGAGATGGAAGAGAAGAGAGACAATGATCTGCTAAAGAGAAAGGAGAAAGAAGTTGATGAGTTCCGGGAGATGAGGAAATTCTTGCAAGGTCTAAGAGAGGAATTATACACTTTACAAAAGACTCAAACAGAACTGTTAGAGATGAAGTCTATAATACAGGAAGTGAAAATCTCCCTTGAAAGTATTAAAAGCAGACTAAATCATTCAGAAAATAGAATCTCAGATATAGAAGAGAAAATGGCTGGCCTGCAAAAATCCACCACGAAGTCTGAGAAAATGGCCCAAAAATTTGAGAATAATATACGAGAAGTACTAGGCACCATTAAACATCCAAACATCCAGATAATTGGCATCCCAGAAGGTGAAGAGACACATAAGGGTATTGATAATCTATTCCATGAAATCCTGCAAGAAAACTTTCCAAACCTAGAGAGGCATTCGAAGATCCAGTCTCAAGAAATACAAAGGACCCCAAATAGAATCAACCTAAGAAGATCTTCTCCAAGACACATTATAGCCAGGTTGACCA